AGGGAAGCCCTTCTCGTTTTCTTAAAAAAAATTTTTTTAGAGTAATACATGCATATAATTAATAAAATTGTACAGAAGGGCTTACATTAGAGTGCAATCTTTTCTACATCTTCCGGTGGAATCTTGACCTAATAGACAAAATCTAGTGGCCTCTGAGTCAGTGATTGTGAAAATGGGTCCCAGAGTCTGCACAACTGCTTTACTCAGAACCGACGTCAGAATGCAAGTGGGGAAGATTCCCATGATTGCAAAATATTAAAAATGCAACACAAACGCAATACTTCCACCTTCAAACAGAAGCCTAAGGGTACAATTTACTTTCTCTTGACCCTTGTGCACACTGATGAGCTAAAGGGTATTGCTGTCCAGCTATCAGACGTACTCTGCAACTTACATTGGTCAGAGGCACCTTTTCGCTTCCAGATGGCAGCAAATACTTTTTGACAGGAAATAAGACCTAGCTGCTCGTGACCACAATAGAGCATCTAAACTACTCCGCACTGCAGGAGAGATTTGGAGCAAAATAACCACACAGCCAAATTGTCATGTTTCTAAATAACTCTCGTGCTGATAATTTCAAGGAATTCTAAATCATCCCAGACAAAATAAAGCAGAGAAAGAGCCAAAAGCTTGGAATTAAGGTGAAAAAATGTTAAAAGTTCACCTTCTGAAAAATTTTTAAAAAAATTATAAAAGACTTTTTTGGGACAATTAAGGAAAACTGAGTGGAATGAGGAAGAGTTAGAAAATAGGGCCTGTGGGCCAGACCCAGCATGCTGCTTGTTTTTGTAGAGTGACTGGAACACAGCCATATATCCATTCATTTCCGAGGTGTCTGTGGCCACAACTATAGATATGAGTAGCTGTGACAGAGTCCATATAGCCTGAGAGCCTCAACCATTTACTATCTGGCTTTTTACAGAAAAACGTTTGCTGACCCCTGGACCAGGGTATAAAATAATATTAGGGAATTGGTGACAGTTTCCTTAAGTATGATGACGGTACTTTGGTTACAACACATGTCCTTGTCCTCAAGAGCTGCAGGTGCGAACATTTAGGGGTGAAGCACCATTATGACTACAGCTTAGGAAGTGGCACAGAAAAGATTAAAAAGAGAGAAAGTTAATATCAATCACTGTTGAATTTAAGTGGTGGGAATATGGATGTTTTGGGTACTGTATTTTTCCATTGATTCTGTACGTTTGAAATTTTTCATGATAGGAAGTTGGAAAACAATTCACCCAGGTTTATACCCTGGTTCTAAGTCTCAACTGCTTTTAGATGCGATGGCATTTCTTAGGAAAGTACTCAGAACAGCAAAATTCTACTAAAACACTAAAATGTGCAAAGCTCTGGACTCCGTTCTAATTAGATTTTACCTGTTTAGGTCATATACTATTTCAGCAGCTGCAGGAAAAGATAACCCATCTGATTGCTTTCGGATTGTCTTGTGCTTATCAATGTTTGAGAACGCGAGTATTGAGGAAGGGAAAGGTTGTACAATGAACAGAACTGTTGCTAAAATAGTTTTTATTTTTTATTTTTAAAATAGCTTTATTTTTTAACCTTGAGCACCCAGCACAAAGAAACAATTCTATTTTTTTTATTTTTTAAATTTATTTATTTATTTATTTTTTTAGCTGTGTTGTGTCTTTGTTGTGGCACACAGGCTCTGTCTAGTTGTGGCGAGTGGGGCTACTCTTCATTGTGGTGCGTGGGCTTCTCATTGCGGTGGCTTCTCTTGTTGCAGAGCACGGGCTCTAGGCGCACAGGCTTCAGTAGTTGCGGCACGCGGGCTCAGCAGCTGTGGCACACGGGCTTAGTTGCTCCGTGGCATGTGGGAACTTCCTGGACCAGGGCTCGAACCCATGTCCCCTGCACTGGCAGGCAGATTCTTAACCACTGTGCCACCAGGGAAGCCCCGAAACAATTCTCTTTAAAATTAGATTTTTTTTTGAGTGTAAAAATTTACTTACATTCGCCAAAGAATATCACGTTTCAAATGTTTTAAGGGAGAACACTGTGGGTTGCCTGGTCTCGCTGCTATTTCATACTTCATACTTCATGCTTATATATCCTGGTACCTTCTGGGAATCAGAAGCACGTTCCTGAATGACACACCTAGTAACAGAACAGCCTCCACCTTGGAGCAGTAGCAGAAAACGGCAAACTTAGCAAATAACGATGCCCTGAGGCCCAGAGACTTGTACCAGATCTCTTGTGTGAAATCAAGGTCATGGTTTCACTGAGTCTGTTTCCTTATTTAAAATGGAAATAACTATCCTACCAGGGATGAAAGAGGAAGAAAAGTTAAGAGGGTCTAATGATACTGTGTAAAAAGGCTTGGAATGTAAATCCGAGGCCATTACAGCCAATGGGCCAAATTGAGAGCAGTTTTACTGGAACGCAGCTATGCTATGTCTACAGAAGGTCTATAGTTGCTTTTGCATTAAAGTAGTTACTACAGACCATATGGTCGGCAAACACACACGTATTTGCTATCTGGCCTTTTACAAACAATGAATTGCTGACATTGGCTCCAGACCACTATGGGCTAATTAACAACCTACAAGTGTGCACGGATCACTGAATCTCAGAATCAAAAAGGGCCTTTGGAGAACTTGCAATTGAGCATCATCACTAGATACATAGCACCTGTGGCTCAGAAAGGTCAAATGATATGGACGGCTAAGGTCACAGACATTCGTTGTGAATTCTGGAGCACACATACCACTGCTTTCACCTGGCCCAAACTAAGCAGGGTAGAGCTAGAACTTGAAGACAGTGAGGCTACTTGGGCCAAGTCTCAAGTTCAAATGGCTGGTGTTCGGTGACTAATCTGTGCAAGGGGGAGGTCAGAGTGAGCAAAGATCCCAAATGTTAATCTTAACTGAAACATATCCGTGCCTACGGCAACAAAATCTGGAAATGAGAAGTTTCTAGGAGTCCAAGGAGGTTCTTAGCAGGCAGCCTGCAGCAATCTAGGTCTCCTCCGTCGCCCCACTCCACTGCAGGGCTGGAGAAGGGAGTGGTGGCGGTCGCTGATATTAACTGAATATTATTGAACCCAGTCTACCGTATGCAAGATACTTTCATGAACTTATATGATTTCATTCGACACCCACAAACACCACATGCAACAGGTCATATCCCCACTTAACGTCATAGATGCTAAGGCTCTGAGGTTAAATGACTTTGCTCAAGGTCACACAGTTGTCAGGAGGTAAAGCTAAGACTCTACCAGGTCCGTTTGACCTGGAAACCTATGTCTTTCACATCAGGCTACAGGCAAAGACCACACGTCATAGGTCTGAGGAGGGCACCCAAGCTGGTAAAGGGGCAGAGCTGGGGTTCAAACCCGGGGCTGGAGGTGAGAGTCCAGAACTGCGTTTTCCAACCCAAGCTTCTTGCTCTCTAGAGTTTTCCGGCCTGTCCCATCTCTTCGAGGACCCTGAGGTCTTGAAGAGCTGGTGGGAGCTTCCGTCTCATTCCTCCAGGAACCCAGAGTAGAGGTCGGTCCCTTCAGGGGAGGTAGGCGGTCCTTAGCCCCGTCTGGGAGCAGCAGGGGGCTCTGCACCGGCTGCCGCCAGCCCGCCGGACGCCGCTTACCTGCCGCGGGGCCGTCAGGGTCCCGTCCACGTCGAAGAGGCAGAGCGCTGGGCCGAGCGCCGCCATGACCCCAGTTCCCACGCGAACTTTACAGGATTCGAAGGCACCTGGAACCTGCCTCGGAACTTCCGGGACCAGCCCCCATGCCGCAGGGCACGCCGGGAGGAGGAGAATCCACTCCCATAATGCCTCGGACTCCGGTAGCTGTTCTCCCTGGACTACAGATCCCAGAATGCAACGCGCCTCGACGCTGCCCTATTAGGGCCGAACACGCGCTCTTAGAGGTTCCGGGAGTAGGTGGGATTCACTTCCGGCAGCAGGCACTAAAGTCATGGTAAGAAGGCGGATGGTGGGAAGTAAGGGAGGTGACGTGCTTTGTGGGTCGGGGGCAGGCCTGGGGCAGGTCTGCAGACACCTGGGGTTCTGATTCGGAGAATCCATGGGAGGGACGTGGGTTCCGATTTGTTATTCCCCGCTCTCCTCTGCGCTCAGGTCACGTGGGCCAGCAACTGCGATAACTAAAACTCACTGAGCACTCGCCGAGCATCGAGTGCATTTGAAGGCTTTAAAACCATCATCACATTCAGTATATTTTGGATACCCATTTTGAAAGATGAAGAAACTGGGGCCCAGAGAGGTGGAGTAATTTGCCCAAAGACCCACTGGTCTTTGACTGTAGGAGTCGGGATTGGAACCCAGATCTGACTTCACCGCCCAAAGTATCTTTCACTGCACTATTCGAGGTGTGGAACTGTGCATCTCATAAAACCCTTGTGCTACGGGTTGACGCCTCCCTCCTCCTCCGTTCTACCCCCATCCTTCAATTTAGGCCAAGTAAACAGCGTTTCTCTTCTGACCCCAAGATGACGCTTTAACCTGACCGAGAATTGGGTAGTTATTATGATGAATATCTTGCGGATTTGTTCCCCACTAGGACATTGATTGAGTTTCCTGCTTGGGGAAATGTCACACACGCTGTGGATCCAGTGCCAGCCCAGAGTTGGCCCTCTCAAGGTATTTGTTGAATGAATGAAGGCTGCGCTTCCTTTCCTATACCTACTTGAGCTGTCTGGAGGAAAGAGGACCGGTTTAAAAGTCAGACTCTGCCCCACTCACTGGCTGTGTGTCTTTGGGTAAATTTCTTACCTTCTCTGGGCTTAATTTTCTCCGTGGTAAAGTAGAAGTAGTGGTTCCCATCGCAAACAGCTTTTGTGAAGATCATGTGAGGTAAAGCATCTGGCTTTACCTTTCTTTCCGTCTCTGGCAGTGATGCCGGCCTCACAGGATTGGTGGGAGCCTCCATGTAAGACGCTTTGTAGCCGTTCCTTGTGTGATTAGCGTGGTTGAGTTCCATGAGAGAAATGGTCTCCCTGTCTCCCTTTCAGGCTGCCTTCCTCCGAGCTGTGCCGCGGTCGCCAGGGCCAGCTGCATGGGGAAGGCCTCTCCACGGGCTATGGTGCTGCAGTGGGCGGGATCCTAGGAGGTGGGTGGGAAGCAGGCCACCAGCCTCCAAGGAGAAACCACCCGGCACAGAGACAGAGACATTTCAGATGGTGTACCGGTTTGATGCCATCAGGGCTTTCGGGTACTTGTCTCGGCTGAAGGTGGCACAGACGGCCCTGACGGTGGTGGCCTTGCCGCCTAGCCTCTACTGGTACTTCCAGGGCCTCATGACCTTCAACTCCCTGTGCCTGGCGGGCGGGATCGCTGGCTTTGCCCTGGCCATGTTGTGCTGGATGAGCCATTTCTTCCGGAGGCTGGTGGGCATCTTGTACGTGAATGAGTCGGGCACCATGCTGCGGGTGGCCCACCTGACCTTCTGGGGCCGGCGACAGGAGACATACTGCCCTGTGGCCGACGTGATCCCCATGACGGAAAGCCAGGATCGGCCTCAGGAGCTGTTCGTGCGGATCCAGCAGTACAGTGGGAAACAGACCTTCTACCTCACCCTGCGCTACGGACGCATCCTGGACCGAGAGCGTTTCACACAGGTGTTTGGGATGCTGGACAAGTTCAAGTGAACGGACAGGAGCCGGGCCTCCTGCAGGCAACCTGAGGGTGTGGGCGGGGCTGAAGGAGGGGGTCGGGCAGCTGGAGACTTTGCCGTGGCACCTGGGAACTTGTCTTTTGGGATGAGGAAATTCATGAGATAGAAGTGAGTAACTGGGTTTAGAAAGAGGCCCTGAGTGCAGATTCTTAACTGCACTTGTGTGTGACATTCAGATAATGGCCAGAAGTTTCTGTTAAGAGCCAGTTCTTGGAGGAAGTGATGCCAGGCTTTCTCGAACAGTTACACTGCTGTGAAATCAAAGAGAGAGAGGTGGGGGGTGGGAGCCAGAAGACTTGGGTCTGTCCGTTTCCAAATCCCTGTCCTGGGGCAGGTTATCAAGTCTCTCAGAACCTTGGTTTTCACATCTTAAAGTGGAAAAATCCTCCCTGTCTCCTGGGATGGGTGTGAGAATAAACAATAAATGTCATTGTTAGTTCAGAGGTGATGGCGCCGCAAAAGGCTTCCAGGCAATGGGTAGGGATTTCACCAGCCCTATGCTGCGCCCTCTTGTGGACCCAGCGGCGGGGGGACCAGGATGAAGCCTAGAGGTGGGTCGTTCATCCTGCCAGCACAGTAGCTGCACAGCCACTGGGGCAAGGTTGTAATCCGAGCAAGTTCACCGCCCAGAGGTCTAGGGGCTCTCACATCAGAAGGCTTTGCAGTGTGATAAAGTCAGATGAACTATATGCTGGTGTGATACTTTATAAAATAAAGCCAGTTATATGTAATGTCCCCCGTAATTAGCAATATGCTTATTATATAATTTGTAACAAAGTAAAGAGGACAGAAGTCATGATCTTTGATTCTACCACTCAGAAGTCAATGACTAAATTTTGTTTTGTGACCTTCCAGTCTTTTTTATTTTCAAATCATAGTAAAATATAAACATAAATTTATCCTTTTAATCATTTTAAGTGTACACTAAGTGGTATTAAGTATATTTAGTGTTTTGCAACCATCACTTCTCTCCATTTCCAGAACTTTTTCATTATCCCAACCAGAAGCTGTGCACCCATTAAATAGTAACCCCCCAACACCCCCTTTCTCCAGCCCCTGGCAACCACTAATCTGCTTTCTGTGTCTATGGATTTGCCTATTCTGGATATTTCATGTAAATGGAATCATCCACTGTGTGGCCTTTTATGTCTGCCTTCTTTCACTTGGCATAATTTTGCAAGGTTTACCCATGTTGTAGCAGGTATCAGAACTTCATTCCCTTTTTATGGCGGAATAATATGTATATAGCACATTTTGTTTATCCATTAATCTTTTGATGGACATTTTGATTGTCTCCACCTTTTGGCTGTTGTGAGTAATGCTTCTGTGAACATTGGTGTACAAACATCTGAGTTTCTGCTTTCAGTTCTTTTGGGTATTTTCTGAGAAGTGGAATTACTGGGTCATACGGTAATTCTAAGTTTAACTTTTTGGGGACCTGCCAACCTTTTCCATAGTGGCTACACCATTTTATATTCCCACCAGCAATGCATCAGAGTTCCAATTTATCCACATCTTTTTTTTTTTATATATATAATAGCCATCCTAATGGGTGTGTACTTCACTGTACTTTCAGTATTTACTTAAAACATAGATGTTATCCTGTATCTGAAATTGGCTTTTTTTTGCTTCATGTTATAACATAAGACTACGTCAGTTATAAACATTCATTTAAAATACTCAATCACAAGGAAGAAACCTTGTGACTATGTGAGATGCTGGATGTTAACTTACTGTGGTAATCATTTTACAGTATATACATATATAAATCATGTTGTATACTTTAAACTAATACCATATTGTATGTCAGTTATATCTCAATAAAGTTGGAAAAAATGGGCAGCATACCTTACAAATAGATAAAAACAAAAGGCCCCGATTATTTGATTTTTTTTCATTTAAATACTTTTTATGCAAAAAAAAAAATCAGTAATTGCAAAATATTCCACTGAGTGGATGTAGCTGGTCCTATAACCTTTCTTGTTTAAATGATCTCCATTTTTTCAGTGCTATAAAGAATGTGATAAATGCCAACTATATGGAGAGATATGTTTCCTTTGTGTAGACTGCAAATGGCATTTTGAGAAAAGTGACTTTATAATCACGATAACGTGAAAGAAGTTGTTAGATCGTCTCAATTTTTTTTTTTTTTTAGATCCTCTCAATTTATTGCATTTCACAGAAGCAAGTAAAGCATGTAATTCCAGACAGTTTGTTCCTGCAGGCTTCCAAATCAGCCAGTCATCCCAGACCTCTTCTGCTGGGTGCTGAAGGCACCACGGTTCATAAAACGGGAGGATTTTGGCCTTTGGACTGACAGCATCTCAGTGGGCAGAGAGGGTGGATGCTAAGTGCATGTTTATAATTAGAAATGGGGAGGGACTTCCCTGGTGGTCCAGTGGTTAAGAATCCGCCTGCCAATGCAGGGGACACGGGTTTGATCCCTGGACAGGGTAAGATCCCACATGCCACGGGGCAACTAAGCCCGCGCACCGCAACGAAAGATCCCGCATGCTGCAACCAAGACCCGACACAGCCAATAAATGAATGAATGAATAAATAAATAAATATTTTTAAAAAGAAATGGGGAAAAGTGCAAGGAAAGAGAAGAGTGGGGTGGGCTGAGGCAGAAGAACAGGAGGGGGTGAGGTTGGGAGAAGGGCCCGGATGGCCTGGGGCTGGGACTTTGAAGGGGGCCCCAGGTGTGTGGAGGAGATGGACGTGAGCACCGCTTGTTCAGGCTGAGGGGACACAAGTGTGCGTTTCTGCCCTGGGCAGGAGTGGGGTGGGTGCCTTTGCTAAGGGGAGGACCCTGAATTTGATCCAAATCACTGTGGGGAGCGTTTGAAGGTCAGTGAAAGAAAGCTTGGGAGCTCTTAAGAACAAGAGGAAACAGCTTTTAATTTGTATTTGTTTTTAATTAAAGATGCAAATGAAAGGGCATAGACTTACGGATTTGTCGTTACCTCTGTTAAATTCCCATCACATGTTAATTCCAGTCAGTCAAAGGCCATGGTCTGGGGAGTGTGTGACCACGTCCCTCAGATGTTTGGGAATGCTGGGCTCCCATTGTCAGCTGGGGTATATCTGTCTAGATGGAGGGGCTGTGCGTGCCGTGGACAGTGTGACCCAGAGCCCGGTTGTGGGCCTGGGGATTCCCGGAGAGCCGCAGACCCACTCAGAAGTGCCGGCTCTTAGGGTAAATGGCATGTGGTTCCACTGACTTAAGTTTAAAGTTTATACCAAGTTTAAAAATACAACCAGAACCTGACTGCTCTCACCTGCTCCAGCCCTGCCATTTCGATCCAAGCTGCCCTCATAGCCTCTGGATTATTGCAACCTGCTGCTTCCATCCTTGCCCTTCTAGAGTCTGTTCTCGCAGCAGCCGAAGTGATCCTTTCTTTCTTTCTTCCCTTCTTCCTTTCTGCCGCACCTTGTGGCTTGCGGGATCTTAGTTCCCTGACCAGGGATCGAACCCATGCCCCCTACAGTGGAAGCATGGAGTCCTAACCACTGGACTACCAGGGAAGTCCTGCCAAAGTGATCCTTTTAAAAAAGAGAATCACATCACTGCTGTAGAAGCTGAAGTCCTTACTGTGACCTACAGTGCCCAGCATGGCCTGGCCCCGCCCCTACCCCCAGCTTTCTTCCCTCATCCACAACTCTGCACTGACCACTTCAGTTAGCTATATTTCCCTTGCTCTTACTCCAATAATCAAGGACCCCACAGCCTCAGGGCCTTTGCACTGACAGTTCCTCTGCCTAAAAGCCTTTCTCCCTAGGTATCTACATAGAAGTGTCTGTCTGTCTGTCTCCAGTTTCTCTCTCTGTATAACAGGGGTGTTACTATTTATCCTCAAGAAGTTGTACTGAGGATTCAATTATATAGAAGACTCGATTATATAATCTTTAGAGCTGCTGGTTCCCTTCCCTACCGTTCCCTCACCTGCTTGTCAGTGACTTCAATTCCTGTGAACCTCTTCTCTCAAAGACACAGTCTGTGCCTATAAAATGTCTTAAGAGGGATTAATGATCTGACCTTGACTTATTAAAACCCAAAATTAAATAGGCCTGTTGGGCTACCTGTAAGCACTTACCTGAGTGAGCTTCACCCCCTGGAGATTCTGATTATGTCTGGGGTGGATCCCCAGAATCTGTCTTTTTGTCAAGCTTGAGGCTAATTCTGCTATGCAGCCATGCTGGGAATTTCTGAAATAGATGACCAGAGTGGACAACACCAGAATGACACATGCCTCTGTGTCCCTGGGCCAATTTTTTTTTTTTTTTTTCCTACAGAATAGGTTCTCCGCCTGGGCTCTGTGTGTAGAATCACCTGGACACCTCTTAAAAAATACTGTTGCCCAGGCCCATGACCAGTTTCCCTAGAGGGGATTCTCATGCGTAGCCTGATTTGACAATTACTGCCCAGAGGTGTCAGCTCAGTGGGAGGAGACAGCCCCGATTCTCACCGGCTCTGGCACAAAAGAGCCTCCACTTGGATGTGTGGTTTGCTCATGCGGTACCAGCAGAGGGCACACAGAGCAAATGCATTATTCTGTCCCTTTATTTCCAAGCTAAAATTACATGTGACAAGGGAAACAGTTTAGGGTTTCTGCAGTGCACCAGCAGCGCAGTAGTACCCAGTTCCCATGCTCCAGATCAGCAACAACAAAAACAACAAAACTCGCCTGTGCTCAACCCTGCAGATTCTGGTTGGGCAGAAGCTGGGCATCTGTATTTTGATGCTTCCCAGGTAATTCCAAGGCACCCCAGGTTTTGAGAATCATTGTGTGGGATTGAGCCTTCCCAAGAGCCGTGCCTCTCTGATGGTCAAGCAGCTTCTCAGAAGATGGAAACGGTCTTTAGATTCAGGTGGTGTGTGGTTATATTGGTGATTTCCCCCTTGGAAAACAATTCCAAAATAATCATCTAATAGAAATATTCAAGCATGTATATGAGGATGTTCACTGAATGTTTCTAA